CGGGCCTCGCCTTAGAAGCCCCCGGCTTAGAGTGCCGCCGACCTCAGTCCCGTTGCGGGGGAGTACGAGAGGCGACACTCAACTTTTGAACCTCCCTGTATGAGGAGCTTGTACACGGCCAGGGCTACTCCCGCCCAGCAGCCCCCAGAGCTAGAGAATGGCAAGGAGAAACCGCTGAAACGCCACCACCTGTTTGCAAGCCTCCTGGTATCTGTTGATGACGGAGTTGACGGCATCGCTGAACAGACCAGAAGGCGCAAGCGGGGCATCCATGAGGAAGACCCTGTCTTTCTCCTTCATATCAGACAGGGTCAACCAGAGCTGCCACCAGAGCTGCCATGGACCGCTTAATGGCACAGGCGGTCTCCTTGGTGGCGCAGAGAGATAAATCAGCGGTTCTGAAACATCCTCTGTTTGAACTTCTTCACCTTCATCTAGCTCTTTAAGCAAGTCGGCTTGGTATGCCTGCAACACAGCCATTGTGTGCAGACACGCACTAGCCTGACCTGCTGCCGTGTACCCCTTGCCCACCAGCGCTGAAGTGGTTTGCAGCAGCTTGGAGGGCAAGACCGGAGCGTTTAAAGACGATGCCGCGTTGGGAGACAGATAGTTTGCGAGCGTCTGTTCTACCCAGGGCATCGATCAATGACCTCGTTCACCCAACCCCGCCACATTGCCATAATAATCATAGGCGGGGATGAATAAGCGGGCCGAGAATGGTTTCGCCCACGACCTCGACACCCTTTTCTGTGGTTCAGCCTGTTTCTCGGAGGGCCAATCGATGTTTAACTTAGCTACTGCACAAGTAACCACCTCCAACAACTCCTCATACTGGGGTGACTGAGGGGGCGAATCATCTATCTTTTGACTGAGGGGCGAAATCTCCTCGGAGGAAGATAGGCGGAGCACCGAGCCCGCTCCCCAGGAAGAAGAAACCACAGAAAGGGCTTCCGATCCCAGAGAGCGGGCAGACCTGGTGGGTGAGGAAGAAGATAGAGACTTTGCTCCCAAGCAGACCACGCACAGACTGTGTATCCCCGCCCGTGATGTAGTGTGGGCAGGGAGGAACACACAATCTATAACGTGATCTACTTTCGCCCAGATGCTTTGTTTTACTCAGCCTTTTTTGACATAGTTGGAGCTTATATGTTGCTGATTGTGCTTACTTTGACAGACAACAGTAAATAAGACTCACAGAACATAAAATGCGACTGACACACACACAGAGATATTGCTGAATGACAGAAAGCTGACGCCAGTTCCGCCTCCCGTGCTTTTATAGCTTCCTGGTCGCTACGTCACCCGCCTATGACGTCTTGCCCTTCCATTGGACTGATTACACATGTGATTCAGAGCCGGTCATGCTGAAAGACGTTCCCAAAGCGTTCTCAGACGCAGCTCGAGTTCCTGAAGGGGAACTTACTGTGCAGCCAGTGTAGTCAGATTTATGAACACTTGTATATGAGCCAATTATTTTTAGTGAATTTAATGAAGTGATTCACAAACTCTTTTTAGACAGTTCTTGTTAGTGAGTAAAAAATATACTGTGTGCCCTTTATGAACAATTGACTCTAATGAGACAGTTCTTTTACTGAATCATTCAAAAATACTTTTTATAGACATTTTACTTTCTGTAGCTTACTCTAGTGTTCTTTTTGGAGTTTATAACTCCATCCCTACCCACCCCGCAGTATGGTAGTGATCTCACACAGCTCTGACAGTGTGTGCACACATCTATGTGTAGCCATTCATCCACATTTGAATAGAGTGGACAGTGAAATCCTGTAAATACAGACTGATAAGGAAGAAAAAAAAACCGAAAGTTCCATAGGAAAAACATTTTATTGAAAAACATTTTCAGTTTGTAACAGACTGGTGGAATGTGTGCCATTTCATTACTATGACTTTATAAGGTTGCACGTCCTGACCAGATCTTACTGCGAGAGAAGGATGGGCACATTGGGTCATCGGGAAACGATAGCAACAGAAAGATAACAGGAAGCGAGAAGTTAGGGAAAAACTCAAGTGATAATACTGAGGTTGTGTACAAACTGGGTAGAAAAAAAAAGCAAAAACAAAGAACTAATTAAATAAATATCTATGGTACACACGTATGGCACAAATATGCAGCAAGCAGTCAGTTTGGCAATTCTCTATCTCATTTTCATCTTTAAACCAGATCACCATGGGAGCAGTGCAAAAAGGTTGAGTGGGAGGGGTCTGACGAGTGCTAGCTAAAATACATAGCAAAAAATTCCACTTCTATACAAAACATCTTACTTAAAGAGTTTATAAAAAAAACAATTTATTGGGTTCGTCATCAATATTTACACAAGTTATTTACCAAAAAAATTTGTATGCTCTCTTTTAACTGAAGTGATTCATGTATTTTTTTTTCTTAACTTTTTTATTTGCTAGAAATGTGAGAATAAGGCTATTGTAACAACCGGGGATCCATATACAATACAAACAATAAGGTATATACAGCCTCTCAACTACAGATGTACGGTGCAAAAACTAGAGTCTCGTGAACTCAGGGTGACCATACAAGCAAGGCATTTTACAGTGGCCCGAAGACACCTCTCCCAGCGTTTCGCAAACCTTCCGCCCACATCGGTGCAACATCTTACGCTACTAGTTAAGTCCTACCGCTCCTAAAATGTTACGGGAACGTTTGCAACCTGCTTGCCAGGACAGTGTCTTCGGATTCAAAGAAACTAAGGAGATTGTCATATTTAGCCCATATGGGACAGCAACCGAACAGCAATATGGTTGTGGTTTTTGTGGTATGTGTGTCTTCTATAGTTTCAAATAACTGCTCAGTCTTCAATATGTATTTGTGTGTGTAAGCGTTCATGTTTCACAGTTTACCTCGAACCTACAGCACAAAGTAAAAAATAAAATAATAATAATAACACACCGGGTTGTAGTGTTTTCGTATGCTGTATGATTTCATTTAATTTTCAGTGGTTAAGAACACTTTTCCATAGGTGAACGTATATCATCTTTTTTTCTCAATTGTTATAAAAATAAATAAAAATTGCATATTTGCAGATTTTGTAGCCTCTTACAGAGGCACAAAGCTTCTGATCACACAAGGCTTGGCTTCTCGGTGAGATTCAAGAACCTCCATGAACAAGTGAAAACAAAACGGATGAACAGTTAATGTGCGACTATGGCAATCCAGTCAGTTTGTGGACATTTTCAACTCTCAAAGTCCACCTTTGGTGAATGATTTTGATTTCAATGTAAGAAACAAATGAAGATAACTGTCTGCAGGCTGGCATTGCTCACGAAGGGTTTCGCACGAATGACGACACACACGTAAGGGGTTCCAAAATCCTCTGGGAGCTGCGGGTTGTGGGATACTCTGGCCTCTGCTTGGTGACTTCCTCTCTAAAATGCACGCTAAGTCCACTTGTGACCTCCATCGATCATAATGTGTTTTTCCCCCCTCCAGAAACCTCCCACAATTTGAGCCTGAAAGATCCCATTTCATGCAATTTACTACATTTAGCCTGTGCTCATTCTCATCTGGTATGTTCACTAACCCACATCTACTGCTTTCCTTCCAGATTAAGGGGCCTAATTTCGACCCAGAGCACATCTGAGCTTCATCAACAGAGGCAGGCAGGCCGGAGAAGTTGGTTTAGTCGGGATTATGTTAGACGTGCCCTTCCTTTGGTCCGTTTCTGGCCCTTCCCTCTCATTCCTTTCGGCTATTTTAAAACCCAACATGCTGTTTTCCCTGAGGGCTCCTTCCAAAGCCGCCCCTTCCCTGGCCATGAGCGCATGTGCTTTTTGTGCGGGTATGTGTGTGTGTTTGTGGTCAAAAGGCAGCTATTCGTGTAGAGATCAATGGAAAAAAGCAAACCGAAATATCTGTTAACGAAAAGGAAAACTCGAAGCTTGCATAATGTGCAGATTCTCCATAAATTATTCATGTTCTTGCTGTTTCACGCTAACCTGTCTGTATGGTACACTCTTAAAAATAAAGGTGCTTCAAAAGGTTCTTCAAGCGATGCCACAGAAGAACCATTTTTGGTTCCACAAAGAACCATTCAGTCAAAGGTTCTTTAAAGAACCATCTCTTTACCTTTTTATAATCTGAAGAACCTTCTTTCGCCACAAAGAACCTTTTGTGAAACAGAAAGGTTCTTCAGATGTTAAAGGTTCTTTATGGAACCATTTAGACAAAAAGGTTCTTCTATGGCATCGTGAAGCACCTTTATTTTTAAGAGTGTATCATAAATAAAGTCTATGTGCACTCTTGCCAACCGTTTTCATCTACAGCTAAACAAATGCTAATTAAATTTTTTGTTTCATTCAAAACTAAACAATTATATCTTGATGTCCCTGTGCTTTTGAGCAAAAACGTAGAGCACCAGTTCCTCTTTTCCACAATCTGCACAGGCCACTGGTGAAAGAGAATGCGTGTGTGTGTGTGTGATGGCAGAAATACTAGAATAACAGGAACTTTTGCAGCGACATGCCTGGGGAAGGCGGCCATTTTGTGTCAGAGATGACAGATTTTCCTATTGAGCCTTGAGTGATTCGCTCCCTGCAATCTGTCTTAATGTGTTTTCTTGAGTTTGTACTCCACGTGGGAAAAGTGGTGAGGCTTTCAAAGTGCTGCTAAAGTGTTCATGTGGGTCCTCCACCTTCCCAGCAGGCATTAGGACAACAACTGTACCAAATATCGACGATCTTTCCTTCCTTCCTTCCTTCTTTCTTTCTCTGTTTGTCTCATTTTTCCAGCCCTGGCAGCAGATGTATATGAAATGAAATGTGTGTATGTGTCTTCCACACTACTAAACAGCACATAAACCAGCACAAAAGGATCTCTATGATGATACATATTAGTCTTCTACCAAACAAATCTACAAGTGGACTGCACTGGGAATGACAAAAAGAAATGCACGTGAGACGCATGACCATACAAAAAGACTTCAAGTAAACATCGTGAGTCATTTTGTAGAGGTGAACAAATGAGGAGAGCTAATGTGAAGTACGAGTGAACGTGCAAAAACAGATGATGTCCATTCAAATGTCCAACAGTAGGCTCCGGAGAGCTTCCCGCTTCCTCGATAAATCCACTTCCTGTAGCTCTGGCCAATAGGCTGCATTCACTTCCTGTTTTGAGATGGATCAGCTAATCGGCCAAGCTAAATAATCAGCTCAAGTTCATATTTCTTGCTGTGTGATACGGTCACGTCACTTCTCTTCTCCATCTCCGTGTGTTGTGTCTTTAAGGGAGATGATGTAGTGGAAAAAAGAGGAAGAATCATTGTCTTGACCTCTCTTTTCACAGCCACCCCCTCAAACCCCCTCTCCCCTGCTCGTCTGATTCACACACATTCCCTCATACAAATGCTATAGTATCCGTTGTAGTGCACCTCAATCTCCCGGAGGGTTTCTGTTGTCTTTTTTGTCATTTTCTATTTGTTTGTTTCATTTTTGCAGGTGCAAGAGCAGCGAATCAGGAGAGTCACTCCACCATCAGCAACATCTATACCGAGAGTAATAATCAGCAATATTGTAAAATAAACAAGAACAACAAAAAAATAAGAGGGGGTAGGAAGAGGGTGAGCTCAGGTGTTGATTCCGCCCACGGGGGGTTCATCGAGGGGCATGTGGGGGGTTAGAGTTAAAACGTCCAAAAGAAGCGTGTCCATTTTCACACTTTATAATAGATGTTTGCTGGGCTTTGAGGCGGCATTTCCTGTACAATGTAAACGGGGTGTCCGTAATCGCCACTCACTTTCTCGTAATGCGGGCAGAAGACGCTGTCAGCAGTCCGCAGCGGGATGATGATGTCACTCGGCTCCGAACCGTTGTTGTTGCCTCCGCTGCCGCCCCTCTTGGGCGTGGCTAATGTACTGAGTGACAGCGTGGTGGCGTGCTGAGGTGAGTGTTTGCGATGGCGTCGTCGATACTTCAGCAGGAGGAATACTAGCATGATGATGATGATGATGACAATGACACTGGCTGAGGCGATGCAGGCGAACAGGGCAACCTCTGAGCCGATGACTGAGGATGATTTATTTCCATCTCCCTTCTCTTCTCCTTGTTGAGATGCATCTAAGAGGGAAAAACACAACATGAACTTAGCAAAAAAAGCAATGAGCAACTAGTATTAAGGACTGTTCACACCAATGATGACAACTATAACAATAATGATAACTACAATATAGTTTAACAATCGTCCATTGGTCTGGATGCTAATATAGTTATAGTTATTTTTTAGTTATCGTTCTTGGTGTGAACAGGCTTTCTGACTATAAAGCAAGTGGCCCACTCATAAGCAATTAAAAAGATGCCTTGACACTAAATGAAACGTCTTTTATGTATGGTGAAATAAATTTACATGTATTTATTTAGCAGACGCTTTTATCCAAAGCAACTTCCAAAGGAGAGAAAACACAAGCGATTGATCATAAAAGAGCCGACGGTATTAGAAGTGCAGTGAAAACAAATTTCAAGAAGAAACCAGAGTACAAAGCTTGAGTAGTAGCGTAAGTGCTGTAGAGGAAAATAAATATAATTTTTTAATAAGAATTGCCTTTATCTAAATGGTTTAAATGATTTAGTTATGTACTTGTGGAAGCCGTCGGTTTACTGAAAGACATTTTGAACTCAAAAATGTGTATTAGGATAGATAACGTCTAAGAAACACTCCGTGATCCTGGAAAGCTGTGGACAGAGTGACCTCGCACGGCTTTGGACTCCAGTGAGTTTGTTTGGAGCGGCCCAGATGAGTCTGGTGAAACAGATGAGCTGCTAACACTCACACTCAGGCTGTTTTACAAGTGGATTATTGTACCTAAGACACTCCACTCAAATGACTTTGATGTCCATATGCTTGTACGTAGAAGGAGAAATGCTGAATTCTACAATGAATGCATTCCAGCAAGTCCGTCTTGCTCTGTCACATTAACGATTTACTTGTCAGAAGGATTTTATGAGAACAAATCAGTGTGCATATTGTTGTGACAGAGGACTGGTACTTGCTCAGCAAAAAAGGGATTAAAAAGCAGAGAGAATGATGAATCAGTGAGCGTCCCCTTACAGATGTGTGAGGTGATAAAGTGTGCGACGTACCGGGCTTGTCAAGTACTTCATTCGATTTGGTCTCCTTGCCCCCTGCGTCGGGGTGTTTGGGAGGGTAACTGGTGGGGTATTCTTTGGGGGAAAAGGGATCGGAGGGGTCTGCAAATTATAGATAAGAAACACATTCATCACTCTGATATATGTATGCATTTTCATGTGGAGAGCGATTACTTTCATGCTGCTCAGCGAAATAAAAGTGTGCGTGCGTGACTGATAGCGACCATGAGAGAGTGAGTGTGTGTGTTCATCATTAAAACACAAGCAGCCATGATTAATCTAGTGACCTTCAGCTTGTGTCTGTATGTTTGTGTGAGAGCGAGAAATTCAGTCGCTTGTGTTGGTGGGTGTGGCCTATGGTAATTACCACAGATTTCACTGGTGAGGTGATTTATGAATAATCGTCATTAATTACAGTGCAGGGTCTGCAGCAGATTCGAAGGGCTTTCCTATTGTTCTACACCCTCGTGCCCACAGTAAAACACCTATTAGACACCCACATACACAATCGCGAAACGATTACTCACTTTGTCCAACCTTCATGATGATTTTCATCGACTTGGTTTTACACACCCCTCCTTCCTGATTATCCAGTCCTTCCATCGTTCCATTAGATGTAGCTGAAACACAATGACAAAAACAAGAACTTTAGCAACATGATATCAACATGTGTATTGTAAATACATAACTGAGATTGATCAAAGAAGTTACAAGCTATTTTGATGATGTAACTGCAACATTAACACAACTAATATTCATACAGTCAAATATCTGTGCGGAGCCTTCATAAATCATGTAACCAAACTTTTAGTAGTCCTAGCTGTGCCATTTATGATTTTTTTTTTTGCACAGGCCAAAATTGTGTTTGTATTGGTGTTGAAAGATGAAATGGTCAGAAAGTGTCAGTGCAGGGTCTGCAGCAGGTTCGAAGGGCTTTCCTATTGTTCTACACCCTCGTGCCCACAGTAAAACACCTATTAGACACCCACATACACACATGACCGCGAAACGATTACTCACTTTGTCCAACCTTCATGATGATTTTCATCGACTTGGTTTTACACACCCCTCCTTCCTGATTATCCAGTCCTTCCATCGTTCCATTAGATGTAGCTGAAACACAATGACAAAAACAAGAACTTTAGCAACATGATATCAACATGTGTATTGTAAATACATAACTGAGATTGATCAAAGAAGTTACAAGCTATTTTGATGATGTAACTGCAACATTAACACAACTAATGAATATTCATACAGTCAAATATCTGTGCGGAGCCTTCATAAATCATGTAACCAAACTTTTAGTAGTCCTAGCTGTGCCATTTATGATTTTTTTTTTTGCACAGGCCAAAATTGTGTTTGTATTGGTGTTGAAAGATGAAATGGTCAGAAAGTGTGCCTTTGCTCTTTAACAATTCAATAGGAAATAAGAAGGATTAAAGGAATAATACAAATGTTGTTTACCAGTGAGGCGAAGGCCTCTAGCACCATGAGTGGTTGTTAATAATTTAACGAATAAGGCACAGAGAGAGAGTGCTATTAATTAATTCATACAGTCAAATATCTGTGCGGAGCCTTCATAAATCATGTAACCAAACTTTTAGTAGTCCTAGCTGTGCCATTTATGATTTTTTTTTTTTGCACAGGCCAAAATTGTGTTTGTATTGGTGTTGAAAGATGAAATGGTCAGAAAGTGTGCCTTTGCTCTTTAACAATTCAATAGGAAATAAGAAGGATTAAAGGAATAATACAAATGTTGTTTACCAGTGAGGCGAAGGCCTCTAGCACCATGAGTGGTTGTTAATAATTTAACGAATAAGGCACAGAGAGAGAGTGCTATTAATTAATGTGAGGTTCGGATCGTGTTTAAGAGCGTGTAACGCTTTAGCCACAGCAGATGTTTGTCAAGAAACAAGTGAGCAAGAACAAAATAGACTTTTTTGTAAAGTTTTCTACATGCAATTTGACTTTACAATAACATAAATTTGAACTGAATTAAGCCGTTTGACATCTTTATCTTTTGCTAAACAAACTATCAGCAGTATTCTGGCCACTGGTCCCACGTGTCCTATGTGGGCTTTTACCCGAACAATGTAGCTATGTCATGTACGTGTGTGTGCGTGTGTGTCCATGCCCGGCAGGCTTGCGGTCTATTGGGTCAGTAACACAGAGCTAACGAGCTGCCAAGGGCTTAACGTCTGGTCAGCGTCCAGAACAATGTGGCCTGCATTCAGAGAGAGAAAGAGACAGGGGAGGGATGTGGAAGTCTATGAGGCGCCTGTCCCCCCATCATCACTTTTTTTTCCAATGCTGCCACTTTGATGAAGTGGATGGAGTGTGAGTGAGTTTTGTGTGTGCCATGTGATGGATCTTTCTGATTCTGCGTTTCTTCTTTATTTGTTTGTAAGGACTGCACTGCAGCATGACACCATCTGACTCTCTCTGCTGCTTCTTTGACCTGTAGCTTTTTAGTGTTGAGAAGAACACAAGCTCATTACATGTAAAGCTCCTTAAAAGCTTGGGTTCCTTTCAGTGTGTTCATTTCATTAATCTGGCAAATGAGCCTAAAAACGCACACATTAAAGCAAACAAATTGCTTAAACAATAATCACATGATGATCTCACATTCCAGGTCAACAGTATACCATCACATGACACATACAGTTTATTTAATTTTAGTTGAAGTGACAAGTTGATTAGTATACAAATATACTTTTAAAGCACTTCTTCGTAGATGAGTTTAAGTTAAATTAGAGTGTTTGACTTTGAACTGACAGCCCAGCTGGCAAAGAGTATTTGTGTGTGGGACAGGTTTGGCCTACATTGTGAAAGCCAAATTTCCCCAAATGGATAGTAAAAACCTGAAACCTACATTGTGGAGAGCAGCAAGAGGGCTCAATGAAGTAAAAAAAAAAAAGGTTTAATAAATAAGCTAAATACTTTAACTGAAAAATAAGGCTGAAAATGTTGTGCATTGATAAAATAATTAAAAAAAAATCATTAGAGCAGTACAAAAACAATAAAGGTAAATGAAAAGTGCCCAACATAATAGAAAACTATTTTTATTCTAAAATGGAAAGGTTTTCTTTTAGCAGTACATGTGGGTTTTGGCTTAGTCTGCAGTATGTATTGTATGTGTCATATATAAAAACAACAGTTGACTAGGTTATGCTCCCAGCTAGATAAATGTGTCTGTGCACTACATGTGGACACAAAAACCCAATACTGTTTGGTGAAACCCTATCAAGCTCAAACAGACTGCGAGATATGTAAAGTTCTGCCATGACAATAGGGCAACCAGTGGGACAGGACTGGAAAATGACACCATGCAACAGGCATTAAATGCTCAGAAACTTTTGCGTAGTATTATATTTAAACATAAAATTATTTTAAAAATAATAATTATTATTATCATTAATCTTCTTCTTGTTATTATTAATATAATTATATTTAAAAAAAAATATTTTGTCTATTAATAACTTGACTAATGATTTAGCAATACAGGTACTTGAATGTGAATGCGAGTTGTGATGATGAGCTGTAGCTGTTGTTGTGGAGTTTGACCTGATCAACATGGCGTCAGGGTCACAGAGTGGTGAACAGCACTCAGGCCAATAATGAGAGCTGACACACAACAATACACACACACAAACATTGTACATCTACTCTAATGAGATATGGCACTGCACCTCAAAAAGCCCTCACTGGCTTTGAACAAAGCCAAACAACATGTTTCTCTCTTTAAGTCAACAATGCTTCATTGGCATGATTGTTAACATTAATAGTATTGTCAACGCATATAAAAAAACAGAAATTACAACAAATAAAACAACGAAACGAAATGAAGGTTGAAAATATAATAAAAATAGAAAAGACTTTATACTAAATATATGATTTAATGTTAGAAATCACTTATCAGTAATAAATGCTCATCGTTGGTTTCTACTGACATGCTCGCCCTCAGGCAATGGCATGCTGTTACATAACTAGTTGCTAAGGAGCATTGTTTTAATTTTTCATCATCTGTCAGTGAGGAAGTCTGAAAACTAATTCAAAGAAAGTGAAATGGTCTCTCTCTGTTTCAGGCCCTGAACCGGCAAATTATAACTTCGGAAAATAGACTGACTTGAAGAATAACCAGTTACAGACACTGTCCTAATTAAAACTGATGAAACAATAATTAAAACTGCAAACGTAAACCGGTTACATTCAGCTTTTTAAGCACTACTGGCTTTTTTTGTTAGTAATGAACTATTATTCTATTCTTAAGGGAATAAATTACTGAACACACCTTTAAGATTTACATAGACGTAGTTTGTCTGTGCTTTATTCAATTATCACATCTTTCTACAGATTGTATTCGTATATATGTTTGTATGTGAACTCGAAAACAACCCCAACTTTGCTTTAAAAAGCATCACAAGATCTCCTAACCGAAGATCACATGATCTTCAAGTGATTTATTATTATTATTATTATCATTATTATTATTATTAGGGCTTCATGTTAATGTTAATTTAATGTTTATGCTAAAAAAAGTGCATATAGCTGCTAATTGTATTTGTTGTTTGTTGATTTTCAAATATAAAACTTATTGAAATGTTTTCAGTGTGTGTATCAGTTCTTTTTGAACGTTTTCATCTAATTTGAACAAAACCATGATAATATTGATAATCGTGATAACTTTGGTCACTATAACCGTGATATGAAATTTTCATACCGTTACATCCCTAGTCATCAGCATCAGGCTGCATATGAACAATAGAAGAGCCATTTAATAGTTTGGCCAGCGCACACCAACACACACCAGGGTTCAACAATAAAGCAATAAAAATGGACAATGACCCGGGGTCAGTTTGAGTGAGCTTGAGTGACCAACTGCATGCTTTTATCACGTACATAAGCAAAAGTGTGTTTACACACATACATCTGTCATGATGTATGAAAATGTTTAGGGCCTGTATATATATATATTTTTTTTATGTTTTTGAAGTCTCTTATGCTTATGAAGGCTGCAAAATCAAAACAATGTAAAAACAGCAATATTGTGAAATATTGTTACAATTTAAATTAAATATTTTCTACTTTAATTAAATGTATTCCTGTAATGGAAAAACCTGAATTTTCAGCAGCCTTTACTCCAGTATTCAATGTCACATGATCCTTCAGAAATGATTCTAATATGTCATTTGGTGCTCAAGAAACATTATTATTAATGTTAAAAACAGTTGTGATGCATAATATTTATAATACATTGTTTTTAATATATATTTTTTAATATTTATAATACACAGCTTTTGAAATAGAAAATAAATAGTTTGAAATAGATTGTTGTTTTTGTAACAGTGTGGTCTTTACAGTCACTTTTGATCAGTTTAATGTGTCCTTGTTGCATAAAAGTAAAAAACAATGAGCCCAACCTTTTGAACCATAGTATAAATACAGTGAACAATGAACAATATATGTATATCATTTTTTGACACATATTAAAATATGTTGCTCAAAAATAGCCGTTTATCGTATTTATGTAAAAAAGTTGTAAGGCTAAGTAAAAATCTATACTACTGACCTAAAGAAAAAATTCTCATTGTTGAGTCCTGCACACACACACGCACACAGACGTTTGGCTTGCTGAACACATTTATAAGGGATTGAAATCATCTGATTGGTTTCTGAGCAGATCCAATTGATAAAGACAGAGTGATTAAACTGAGCTATTAGGATTAAACTTTTTAATTAATGACTTCGAATAAACCCCCCACCACACACAGCAGTCATACGTCTCTGCGCTTCATAACACACACACACACACACACACACACACGCACACAAACGACTCCAGCTGTACACCAGGGCAATTATCATCCACAATGCAGCAAAATGAACTAATTTCTCTTTCTTCACCTCCTTTTTCTCTCTTTCCCTTTTCTTTCTACAAATTAGAGTTGCTTAAGAGAAACTGAGAGAGAGCAAAATAAAGGAGGAGAGAATTTTCCCAGAACTGCAAAATTGGATTTTCTCCTTATGCTGGAAGTGAACTCTCATTGTGAGGGACAGCGAGAGAACGGCTCAGGTCTGGGCAATGAGATTTACGCAGTGTATCAAAGCAGTCTCTGTTTGTGTGTGTGCGCGTTATTCCATTTGCTAGATCCCTGCATTTCTCTTCCACCTCACCCGCTGTTTAAGCAGCTTGCTTTGAGCCTGAAATGTGTTGTGTGTTGAGGCCAGGTGAGCAGTTATTGTTTTCGCAAATGTGAAAATTCAACCCACATGCAAAATGATACAAAGCGAATACGAGAAGTCATTTGTGTTTGTGTACATACGCGTTCATGGTCAAATGCCACTCACAAACAGAAACCTTCCATCTCTGTAACTAACAACTACTCCAGCCAACATAAACAAACACTAGCAAATGTGATATAAACGTGTCATTATTTGCACCATGACTCACTAAAACATTGCTAATGTAGTTCACGCCACAACGTCAACCTTTCCCGATACTCAAAACCACATAAACAAACCCAAGCTAACGTAATTGACCAGAACGGTGCGGTAAGGGTGGTTTACAGATATCCGCTGACATACTCACATATAATGTAGTAGTCTTTCCCCCTAAAGAACTCCAGGCCCCAAAGGTTTGGGCTGAACTCCTGGAATTTGAGGGTGAATTTGACGTCCTGGTCCGGTTTGACGCAGTTGAGTAGAGGCGTGTCTGCCTTTGTGACCTGACAGGACTTTAGTTGTTCCAGAGGAACCATATAGAGTTTATAATACTCCACTCCTTCCGTAGAGCCGCCCTCCACGCGTGGGCAAACTATGTCCATCTTATCCCCGATCTGTGGATACAGCACCAGACCCTGTCCTGGCACGAACCTTTGAGAGAAAGAGAGACGGAGAGAGAGTGAGACACATCATAGATGATAAATAATATTCGAACTGCTCAGGATCAAAAATATGCTGGATCGTGAAGCATAGTGTTGATCAATAATTAAAAAAGAGGATGATTAATTATTTAGCAGTGATTATAAATGATAAAACGGGTTCTAAAGAACTAGCTGGATCATAAAAACGTAGGAGAGTAACTGAAACGATCCTAAACTGCATGCATGAGTGTTTTTAAAGGGTTAGTTCACCCAAAAATTCAAATTCTGTCATTAATTTCTCACCCTCATGTTGTTCGAAATCCGTAAGACCTTCGTTCATCTTCGGAACACAATTTAATTACATTTTTGATGAAATCTGAGGGCTCTCTGACCCTCCCATAGACAGCAAGGTAACTACCACGTTCAAAGTCCAGAAAAGTACCAAGAAGATCGACAAAGTAGTCCGTGTGACATCAGTGGTTCAACTGTAAAGTTACGAAGCTACGAGAATACTGACCAGATCCGGCGCTGACCCAGATCCGGCATGATGACGTCATTACGCCGGATCTGGGTCAGCGCCGTCACACGCTCGCGTCATGGTACTGTCGTGAACGCGCGTCCACAAGTGATGCAGTAGAGACGAAAATGTGGAATAAAGTTGTTATTTTTGTTTTCTTTGCTCAAAAAAAGTATCAGTACCACTGATGTCACATGGACTACTTTGTCAATTATCTTGGTACTTTTCTGGACTTTGAACGTGGTAGTTACCTTGCTGTCTATGGGAGGGTCAGAGAGCCCTCAGATTTAATCAAAAATATCTTAAATTGTGTTCCGAAGATGAACAGAGGTCTTATGGGTTTGGAACAACACAAGGGTGAGTAATTAATGACAGAATTTTCATTTTTGGGTGAACTAACTCTTTAACTTCCTTTATGAGAAACCAGAAAAGAAAACAGAGCAGCTAGAATGAGACAAAGGTGTTGACTCATGGCTCATACTTTAGAAAACAGACAAATAGTCTCTCAGATGCCAAGCACTTAAACAGCAGCGCTGTGAAAAGAAAATGATGTCATGAGAAATAAGGAGGAAAAGTGCAGCAGCTCGCATCAGGCGACGCTCCCAGCCATCTGCCTCGAGGGACTAAAACAGGAGTAGCTGGGAAAACTGCTCTGCTGTGTGTGTGTGTGTGTGTGTCTGACGTGCAGCAGGGTAGCTGTCAGGACTATCTGCACGACAGATCTAGCCACGCAAATCCTCTCGAGCCAAACACTGGATTGCTATCTCACTCATGTCTTATCGCTACACAAGCTTATTTGAAAAGCCAAGAACAGTTTGCCTGCATATGTGTATGATGTGCTCAAATATTTGCTTTGGGATCGTTCAAAAGAAGCGGGTGAGACTCGTAAATTCCCAGAGTAAAACATGTTCACACCTTAAAAGTTTACATACACACACCTACAAAACCACAAATCTGCTATTTTTCTCAAGTAGAAAAAATTTGCATTTGCAACAGAATACCTTTCCCCTCTTAAATATACAGGTTTCAAAAGGGGGGTTTTACAGCAATCCCAATGAAGAACAATTCTTGGTTCAGTGAAACTTTCAGTGAACCGTTTTTCTTAGTATGAAGAACATTTGAATAATCTGAAGAACATTTCTTCTAATATGAAGAACCTTTTGTGCATTAGAAACGTTAAAGGTTCTTCAAGGAACTATCAACACGAATAAATCATCTTTACTTATAAGAGTGTACATTCATATATACCACATGCTAATTCTATTAACCTCTGTTTTGTTGTATTTAATGGGCAAACACAACTGAGCAGTGAACCGGAGAGATAGGCCAAATGCAGCATGCTAGTTGCTATACACATTGTTGCAGCCCAGTCAGTCATTATCCTAAACCACAGGGTATACAAGTTCACCCCGCAGCCTATACGCACACATTCCGCTATTAAAAGGGTGTTTTACATGTCTATATTTTACAGGAGCCACTGTTAAAACTGTCTAGTTTTAGTTTTGAGTAGGGAGCGGGACATATAAGTGGGGGGTATTTGAACAAATAAAGCCAGAGGTCACACTCATGTTTGTAAATGGCTTTAATCCTTGTCTAAAAGACACACTTTAACCCCCAACCTTAGCCTTGGTGATTCTCACAGTGGTCGTAAATATTCTGCGACATGCGAATGTGAAAAAGAAAAGGATGACAGAATAAGGATTTGCACACGTTTAACACAGACCGCGCATTCTGTTAACAAGACTGCAGCTGCACACAGAGAAGCCATTAAGTCGGAAAAGGTGTGCATGTGTAAGAGCAAACGGTCAGGACATGTGCAGTACATCTAAGGAGAGATGGCTGTGCCACTTGAGGACGTTTCTCCATAATTTAATTTGTGATCCACATTTGTCCCTTTTATATCTCTGTTTTTTATACTCACAAGGCATCTGTTTTATCTTTTCTTTTTGTCTTCTTCCCACTGACTCATTCACTTGTGCTCAGACTGAAATATTCATTTTTGGCAGCCTTTCTAAAAGCACTTCAAAAGCAAGTCGTTTAAATAAACTTGCTCATATACATTAAAGCATAAGAAATTAGTATAAGACTTTCAGGACTCTCTCTGGCAACTTAGGCATGATATAAACGATAAAACTGAAGTTGAGAAACAGCTGGGCTGAATGGACGTCTGAAAGGTGTTAAAGAGTAAAGGATAAGACATCTGTTTTTTTATTGGGGTGGGGCTCTATTGCCCATCCCATTTTTTTTTTTTTGGAGGACTTCTTAGGGGTTAAAATACAGATTCATTTGATAAAACTAAAACCAACACATGTGTTCCTGAAACTCTGCTCAACATTCCCCCCTAATGTTTTCATATATTTCGCTTTCTTCAAATGGTGCTTTTGTATATGAATGTTTGTCCATCAGCTTTCCTCTTTCTTTCTTTTCCTGTGTTAATCTCTAGTTGTGTGGGCCGAGCCATGACACAGTGACAGCAGTAGCCTAATCCTGCCCCAATAGGAACACAGCGCTTTAACCCGAAGATCTGAAGCAACGCGGACACATATGGGTGGAGGGGAACTTCAGCTGTTTGACTTTCAATCATCAGACCAATATGGAGGTTCATTGGCCATAGAAAGCAGGGGACAAAAGAAATCAACAGACATCTCACGGTTTAATTGCTCCATCATGCTTTGCAATCGAGACCTGCATTGGGTGAGAGGGCAAATCGACCAGACAGGCGACTTTTCCCTTTGTCAGCCTATATCCCTTCATTCTTTCCTGTTTTTCTCATCTATTCACTCCATAATCCCGAAAGACCCTGTCTGCTCTCCCCTCAAATTTTAAAGCAACACAAATGCCATTTAATAATGAACTTTTATTCTCTTTGAGGTAATGACTAGACATCACATTTTTCCCTCAGGCCCCTTTCTTCTCCTCGCTCTCTCCCAGCGGCAAAACAATCTCTCCCATCTGCTAATATGATGACGATAAATTTGGAAAATGATTAACTCAGCATCTAAATCATAACAGCCTTTCGCTAGCAGTCTATCATGAAGTTCATGGCCCACTCGCCCCTCGTTCATTCATGCTGTATCTGCATGTGTATGTAGCCATGCATGTGCCCCCATCAGAACCCTGCTAAGCGATGTAATCTCCTAATGAAGAGAAGGGGGAACCTCCTTTGACTGAAAACGTGTAGAGCAGACTGCTTTTGTTTCTCCACCTCCGACAAAATGGATTACCAGAAGGAACAAGAAAGAGAGGGAGAGAAGAGAGAGAGAGGGGAAAGGAGTCTTTACACTGATACATCAGAGGTAAAGCAGTGAAGGGGTAAAAAACACTGCACACTAGATTGACACACATTTTTGCAATGGGAGGGGAAAACCCAGCTAATCACACACACACACACTCGCTCAGTGATTGAGCATTGTGGGAGTTGGTGACGGTTGTCTCATGTACAGAAGGCCATAGGGAGTAGAGTATGGATATTAAGCACAAATCTCCCATTATGCGGCACTGATACTTTAGATAAAGGCATGTCCCATAGCGCTGCTATTCACATACTCACAAACATTATACCTATGGGATTCCTCTCTAATCTTCAGATAGTAAGTTGTACTTTGTGTTTATTGGGTATTCGTGTTTCTAAAATGAAACTGGAGTCGATGCAAGATGGGAGTCAGATTCTCCTCAGTTCACCTATTATAGAAAAATGAATTCATATAATGAAATAATTTAATGCCAAAGGAAAGAAAACAAGCCAGAAAGAAAGAAAGAAAGAAAGCGAATGCAAATATATTTGAATGTAACAAGATTCCTGCCATGTCCCAACGTTTTGCTCTGTTTATCTTGTCACATGGTTAAAATGCAGCCAACGCTAACAATGCTATCAGTGCCATCACCATTTAGTCCTGTGCAGTGCTACAAAGAACTATACACTGAACTGCCCCAACAGAATAGCAGGAATGTGCGCAGTGAACAATTCCATGGAACGCTGGCTTGCCTGGGAAGAATGAGGCCTGCATCTTTACAGTGACACACACACAATAGAGAAACACGCCGCTGGAGGTCACTTCATGGTCGCTCTGGGTCTCCATCAATGAAGATGTCACAATAGTTACCGACATGGTGGTGACACTTCACATTCAGTATAAGTTATATATAAAAATTTTATTAATTAAAATAATTTGAAATTACAATTACAAACTACTCCACAAAAACATCATTACATACTAAGTACAATTACGCAGTACTTAGATTTGTAATCACCCAGAAACATAAACGCTAAAGTGTAATGAACATGGCTCGCTTAGAACTGTAACAAACTGTGAGGAATCTAAACTACTCCCACAGTTTTTGACCAAAGAATTTCCATCATTGTTCAAAATTGGATATTTTAGAAATCGTTAAGACAGATTATTACCATTTGTATTCCAAATACTAATCTTTGAATTAAAATAATTTTACTTAAGAGCACTGCATGCAATATTTGAGGAAATATACATTTAATTTAAGCTATAAAAATGTAACCTATACTCACTATAAGAGAAGGCCACAACTTTTCCATTACTTTTCACCACTCCGTGATTTTTCATCATTTAAATTGGCATATTGCAATATAGTTAAAACATTAGTAATTTTAATTGTTCAAGTTCCCTAGAGTATAAAAAAAACTAAACTAAAAGAAGGTCTTATATAAGAACAATGTAAAAGTAGGTTAAGTGGAGTGGGCCAATGGTCGCGAGCGCATTCAGCAAAATTGAATCTCAGTGCAACACGTCATCCTCCTCAATGTTTATATATATATATATATATATATATATATATATATATATTTATATATCCCCCTCTCACGACATTA